CAATGTAAATTATCCATAAATAATAGCTCACAAGTATTTACTCTATTACCCATTATTATTATCCCTTTTTTGGAATAAACATAGTTTCCACCCCAACCCTCTACCTGTAACAATCAACAACCCTTAAACGGTGTTCCCAACTCTGAGGACAAATTGTTTTGGGAGAGGGGGCATTGTCCTCTAGAATTGCTTCCCACTGTCATGGGGGCGATGTTTTCTTTATGGGATCCTACAAAAGTAAATTGATGGTTAAGTTTTAAGATTACTATTTAGTATAGTTGCAAACAGTTTCCAAGCAGTCGGTAGGGTTTTTTCCAGAGTTCTTATTTGGAGTTCTGGCCAGATGTCATGAGAAGGTGCACCATTTCAGCAGCTGGTACCCAAAAACTGGTCTTATAGTAACACTATCAGCATCACAATGTCATCTCAACCAGGTGGAGTGGTTGCTGTGGGGCCCCGTCTTCTTCCTGAAAACTTCAAAGATTACTGCAGGAAAAGGGTCTGTGGGAAAGTCTATTGTGCATCATGGAAAACTTAAACATTACTCATAGAGACATAATTCAATAAGGAATATGATATAGACAAAATAGACATGGAGAAAGTGAAATTTTTCCTAAAGTCTTCCTTCTGTCCCATACCAAATGGCTCCCGATATGAGACAGAAACTCTGAATGTACTTTTTAATAACACGCTTGGATTTAGAGAGAAACAGAGCCATTGTTCAAATCCAAAACCAGTGCAATATATATATATATATATATATATATATATATATATATATATATATAGCGAATATATATACGAGCGAAACCCCTTCCACAATGTAGCATATCTCCTGGTTTCCCAGGTCAACATAGCCTTGAAATACACTGGTTGATTTAATTTAGAAGTTTTTCCATTATCCAATGCCTCTCTGTTGCTGTTGTTCCTTTCTCATTAGTGTTAAGAAAATTCAAGGTTAATAAAGCATTATGCAATCTATTTCTGGGGGTATTTTCCATCCCTTTCTGTTTGTTTAGCATATCCTTTATAGTTTGATTTTGTCTTTCTATAATTGCCGGACCTGTGGGATTATTTGTTATACCTGTAATGTGTTTTATATTATAATAGGCAAAAAACCATTTCATTTTTTTTCTTAGATACATAAGCTGGACCATTGTCTGTCTTTATTTGTGCAGGAATACCCATGATGACCATAACTTCTAATAAATGCATGATTACTGAGTCATCCTTTTCTGAAACTCTTTCTTTAAACCTTTGCTATTGACATGATGTTTTTAATGAAATTCTGAGGCCTGAAATATTCTTTAAATCAATAATTGATCAATTTCTGCATTACCTTGTGCTAGAGGACCTGGCAGACCTGTATGGAATCAGATGTGTGTTATGTATATAGGATAAAGCCTATTCCTAATTATGTTTTGCACCTGAATTAATAATGAAGTCAATTTTGTATTATCTGGTATAAATTTAGCAGTTTCAATATGCAAGACAACTCTTTCTGCATATTGTGAATCAGTAACAATATTGAGAGGTTCTGCCGGGCGATGGTGGCGCATGCCTTTAATCCCAGCACTCGGGAGGCAGAGGCAGGCGGATCTCTGTGAGTTCGAGACCAGCCTGGTCTACAGAGCTAGTTCCAGGACAGGCTCCAAAGCCACAGAGAAACCCTGTCTCGAAAAACCAAAAAAAAAAAAAAATATTGAGAGGTTCTTTAAAATCCCTGAGTACCATAAGAATAGTGTATAATTCTGCCTTCTGGACAGAATTATAAGGGCTTTGTTCCACCTTACTTTGTTGGAGGAGAGCTACTTGTAGGTTTTTGGCCACCCAGCTAGCTTAGACCCAAAATAATCACACAGAAACTGCTTGGCCCATTAGCTCTAGCTTCTTTTATTTATTTATTTGTTTATTTATTATGTATACAATATTCTGTCTGTATGCCTGAAGGCCAGAAGAGGGCGCCAGACCTCTTTACAGATGGTTGTGAGCCACCGTGTGGTTGCTGGGAATTAAACTCAGGACCTTTGGAAGAGCAGGCAATGCTCTTAACCACTGAGCCATCTCTCCAGCCCTAGCTCTAGCTTCTTATCGCATTTTTTTTTTTGATTTTTCGAGACAGGGTTTCTCCGTAGCTTTTGGTTCCTGTCCTGGAACTAGCTCTTGTAGACCAGGCTGCCCTCGAACTCACAGAGATCCGCCTGCCTCTGCCTCCCGAGTGCTGGGATTAAAGGCGTGCGCCACCACCGCCCGGCTAGCTCTAGCTTCTTATTGGCTAACTCTTACATGTTAATTTAACCAATTTCTATTTATCTGTGTATCACCACGTGGCTGTGGTTTACCAGGTAAAGTTCCCAGTGTCTATCTCCAGCAACTATATAACTTCTCTCTAACTCTGCCCTTCTTTCTCCCAGCATACAGTCTAGCTTTCCCCGCCTAGTTCTGTTATTCCCTGCCATAGGTTCAAAGTAGTTCTTTATTCATTAACCAATAAAAGCAACACATAGAAGAACCTCCCATACCATTACTTAATTCTTCTGATTTGTAATCTGCCTTCCCTGATTTATTTGCATCAATATAGAATGTACAGGCTCCAGTTATTGGTGTATCATGTACAATTTGGAGAAGAATCCAAGAAGTTCTCTTTATAAGGTTAAGTCTGTCACTTATAATAATTGCTATTAATTTCTCCAAAAAAATTAGCACAAGCTCTTTGCCATGGTTCATTGTCTTCCCATAACTTTTTAATTTCATCAGTAGTGAAAGGCACTATAATGTCTGCTGGGTCTGTACCTGCTGATGGAGGAAGGTCATTGGTTAAATAAAAAGAAACTGCTGGGCCCTCATTGGTTAGAAGATAGGTGGGAGGAGTAAACAGAACAGAATGCTGGGAGGAAGAGGAATTGAGCTCAGACTCCACAGCTCTCCTCTCGGGAGCAGACGCCTCAGAGAGGGACGCCATGCTCCGCTCCCTTGGGCAGACGCACGCGATGAAGCAAGCCGCCAGGTTAGACATGCTGAACCTTTCCCGGTAAGACCGGTGCTCACAGATTATTAGAGATGGGTTGATCGGGATGTGAGAATTAGCCTGTAAGGGCTAGAGCTAAAGGGCCAAGCAGTGTTTAAATGAATACAGTTTGTGTGTTGTTATTTTGGGGCATAAGCTAGCCGAGCAGACGGCCTGGGTGCTGGGAACGCAGCCCCGCCGCCCCTTTTACTACAACCTGCCAATTGACAAAGCTTCAATTTACCTTTTATAATTAATTAGAGACTTTTTCCATGTAAGTTTTTAGTTTTTTACTTGGTTTATGTGGTAAAAAGATCCATTCTATGATAATATCCTCCCTCTGCATTAAAATTCCTATAGGAGAAATCCTGGAAGGCAATATGACTAGAATACAATTAAGATTTGGATTCACCCTATCCACATGTGCCTCCTGTAATTTCTCAACAATTGTCAATTCCTTTTCTGCTTCAGCTGTTAATTTTCTGAGACTATTTAAGTCTTTATCATCATCTAAGGTTTTATTTAAATGAACTATTAGGTCAGCTGTTATCCCAACAGCTGGTTGTAGGCTGGAAATGTTTCTCAATAATCTTAGAAAGTCATTAAGAGTCCGCAAAATGCTGTCTGCTCATCTTGTGCTTTGTTTTACCCGAGATAGGGCTCCAATTCCTAGGAACTGAACATCTACCTCTTGAAGAGGCCAATTCAGATGCCAAGATTCTGAAGTAATGATAGTTACATCCACACTCGTGTCTAGTAGGCATTCAATAAAATGCCATTTATACACACTCTTCGCTTTGGTCTCTGATCATTTATAGAAGTCTGGCCAGAATATATGTTTCCTATGTCCTAATTGAGTTTTTGACTCATCCTCCACAATTATTTGGACAGTATTGTTTTTTACAGTAGGGAGTGGATTTTAAAAAAATTTTTGATGAGACACATTCTCCACAGTAACTGGGAATGATTGGACCGTGTTTGTCATGGGGGCCTAAATGTCCCTCAAACGAAAAATGGATAAGGAAAATGTGGTAATTTACACAATGGAGTACTATACAGCAGAAAAAAAATAACGGCATCTTGAATTTTGCAGGAAAATGGATGGAGCTAGAAAACATCATTTTGAGTGAGGTAACCCAGACACAGAAAGACAATTATCACATGTACTCACTCATAGGTGGTTTTAAAACATAAAGCAAAGAAAAATCAGCCTACAAATCACAATCCCAGAGAGCTTAGACAACAATGAGGACACTAAGAGAGACTTACATAGATCTAATCTACATGGGAAGTAGAAAGTAGAAAAGGACAAGATCTCTTGAATAAATTGGGAGCATGGGACCTTGGGGGAGGATTGAAGAGGGAGGGGAGAAGCAGGGAGGAGAGCAGAGAAAAATGTCGAGCTCAATAAAAAAAAATCAATAAAAAAAAACAAAAAAAAATTGCCGGCTCGCCCAAGGGTGGGCATGGGCCCCTCACGGAAGAGCACAATCAGTCTTCTTTGCCTTCATTACATAAGCCATTTTAGTGGCTCTCGTTACGTCTCAGAAGGTTTGCTACAATCTAAGTGAAATTATAGGATGTTCCAGAGATGTCTTGTGTGAAATTATACTCTGATGACGGGAAACCAGGAGCCAATAGAGCAGCAAAGGTGTTGAGAGCTTGGAAGGAAGACTGCCTGCAGTAGCTGATGACAGGCAGGGGCTCCTTCCCAGTTTCCTGTCCCATAATTTTCTGTCTTTGTATCCAGCCTTAATAATATTACTATGAGATGTGCCGGGCAGTGGTGACACACACCTTTAATCCCACCGCTTGGGAGGCAGAGGCAGGCAGAGATCTGTGAGTCTGAAGCTAGCCTGATCTACAAAGCAAATTCTGGGAGAGTCAGGGTTGTGACACAGAGAAACCCTATCTTGAAAAAAAAAATTGCCATGAGATATATTAAACAGTTTCACTTCCAAGTGGGAATATTATCAGTATTTTTTTTTTGTAGGTGGTGACAGTGGACTGGATGGGTTAGGAGGACCAAATATACAACTAGGAAGCCCAGATAAGAAAAAACGCAAGGGCAGTGCACAGGTAAATTGACTTTCGTTTTTCTTTTAAAATTATTTGTTTATTTATTTCTAAGGTCTGTTTGTGTCTGTGTGCCATGTGAGATGTGAGGGCAGGTACCCAGGGAGACCAGAAGAGGGCATCCTATCTAAGTCACAGGCATTTGGGAGCCACCTGAAATGTGTGCTGGGAACTGAACTTGGGTGCTCTGGAAGAGCAAAGAAAGCTCTTAACCGAGCCGACTCTCCGGGTCCAATGTTCTCCTTAGTAACAGTTCTCACTTGTTGGCCTGGTCAGACGGATAAGCGAATTTTTACATTTGGCCAGGTCCCTTGCTTCCTGTCTGCTTCAGAGCCTAATGAAGGGTTCTGCACTCCTTGTGCTGCTTGTCAGTCTATCCTGTACTTCTATGTAAAGATTTTTAAATAATTTTAAATTGAAGTAATTGCTCTGCTATTGTAGAAATCAATATTGTGTGGCTACCATGAAGTAGAGAAAGTCTCCTTTGTTGTAACTTGTGGTTGTAATAAAAATTATATATGTAGGCCTTTATGCTTTTCAATTTATTTGCTTGTTCATGGTTTTATTTATATGTGTATGAGTGTTTGCATGTACCATGCAACATGTACATGGTCTGTGTACCATGTGTGTGCAGTACCCTTGGAAAGCCAGCAGAGGGCACTGAATCACCTGGAACTGATTTACACATGGTTGTGGGTGCTGTGTGGGTGTTTGGAGCTAAACCCCAGTCCTCTGCCCAAGCAGCACAGAGCACTGAGCCCTCTCTCTGGCCCTACTTTATGATTTCAGTTGCTATCAACTAAAGTACTTGTCTGGTGATAATGAGTAGGAGTTACTTTGAATCTATTCTATTTTGTTTCCCTTTTGACCACTCTCTGTTATATCTGAAGCCGTAACAATTATTTTTCTATTAAGAGAGGTAGAGATTAGAGCTTTGAGAATGCTTTAATTGTGGCTCCCTTGACATTAAAAAAAAAAAAAAGAGGGAGCCCTTGGACTCTGTTTACCGTTATCCAGCTTTCTGGCTGGGGATAAGAAGAGTTGTGATTAGAACACTTTAGTGTTTTAAGAGAGAATTTAGCTTTAGATGAGCAATACATGAAAGCTGTGGTAGGCTTTTTAAAAATGATGTTTTTAGACACAGGTTCAATTCCCAGCACCCACATGGTAGCTCACAACTGTCTGTAACTCAGGATCTGACACCTTTACATCAATGCACATAAAATAAAGATTTTTTAAAAATGATGTTTTTATTTCATGTGTATGAGTGACGGTTTACATATATGTCTGTGTACCACATGCATGTCTTGTGCCTGTGAGACCAGGAGAGACATCAGATCCCCTGGATCTGGAGTTACAGGCAGTTGTGAGCCACCACATGAGTGCTGGGAATGGAACCGGGGTCTTCTGGAAGAGCAGCCAGTGCTCTTAACAGATGAGCCATCTCTCCAGCCAATGATAGGATTTTTTTGAGAGTTAAATGGAATTTGAAATAGCAGTGGGTCTGAGGTATAAAAGCATGCCTCATTTCCATTCCTAAACATGTATTTTTAAAATGGTTTAACTTGATTTTCGATTCTTTGTATCTGTGTGTGATATTGTGGGTATGCAGTGCTGGTAGAGGCCTGAAGAGGGTGTCAGATCCCCTGAAGCTGGGCTTATAGATAGTTGTGAGCCACATGCTGGGCAACAAATTTGGGTCCTCTAGAAGAGCAGTCAGTATTTTTAAACACTCACTCATCTCTCCAGCCATATATATAAATATTACCTTATATATATATAATATATATATTATCACATGTAATTAAGTATAAACATTTGGGATGGTAGTTGAAAATACTAAATTTTCTTAGTGCTGTAAGAGAAAGCCAGGTTCTGGGTGCTGAGAGCAACTGTTAACCTGACCTCTTGCATCAAGACTATTTTTCCTTTGCATTCTCTTCGCAGGGACCTTCCTTTCCTCCATTGTCTGAGTATGCACCACCACCCAATCCAAACTCCGACCATCTAGTGGCCGCCAACCCCTTCGATGACAACTATAACACCATTTCCTATAAACCACTGCCTTCGTCCAATCCCTACCTTAACCCCGGTTATCCCGGCTTTGGAGGCTACAGCACATTCAGAATGCCACCCCACGTTCCCCCAAGAATGTCTTCCCCCTACTGTGGTCCTTACTCACTCAGGAATCAACCACATCCATTTCCTCAGAATCCCTTGGGCATGGGCTTTAACCGGCCGCATGCTTTTAACTTCGGGCCACATGATAATCCGAGTTTCGGAAACCCTCCTTACAATAATGTGCTGACTCAGGACATGAACATGCCTGGTCAGCATTTTAGACAGAGCTCTGCAGAGAACTTCAGCCAGATTCCCCCACAGAATCCTGGCCAGGTATCTAACCCTGACCTGGCATCTAATTTTGTCCCTGGAAATAATTCAAATTTTACCTCTCCGTTAGAACCTAATCATTCTTTTATTCCACCCCCAAACGCGTTTGGTCAAGCGAAAGCGCCACCTCCCAAACAAGACTTTCCCCAAGGGACAACCAAAACCACGAGTCAGAATTCCTCCGCTCACCCGCCTCACTTAAATATGGAGGATCCAGTCAATCAGAGTAACGCTGAATTAAAAAATGTCAACAGAAACAATGCCGTGCAAGAGAACAGCCGCTCGGGTAGTGCAGAGGCCACCAACAGCCACGCCAATGGGACCCAGAACAAGCCTCGGCAGCCCAGGGGCTCAGCCGACCTGTGCACCACCGAGAAAAGCCGCAAGTTCTCCCTGCACCCCAGCCGCCATGGCCATTCGTCTTCTGACCCGGTGTACCCGTGTGGGATTTGTACGAATGAAGTGAATGACGACCAGGACGCCATCCTGTGTGAGGCTTCCTGTCAGAAATGGTTTCATCGCATCTGCACTGGAATGACGGAGACAGCCTACGGGCTCCTGACGGCTGAGGCCTCGGCAGTGTGGGGCTGCGATACGTGCATGGCTGACAAGGATGTCCAGCTCATGCGCACTAGAGAAGCCTTTGGTCCACCTGCAGTGGGTGGCGATTCCTAACCACGGCTGTTGCCTACCGTGGGTTCCTTTTTCTGTGTAGAACGGAGATTTGGTGACATGGGATTTTAATGTTTGACATTTTTTGAGATGGCACACACAAAAATGCTACATCTTAGTTCTTACTAACGTTGTGCTTCATTTTATTGTTGTGTTTGTTGTCTTAAATGAGATTAATGTGTGTGTGGGTGCCCTAGAGACACCTATAAATAAATGTTCGTTGTTATTTATCATAAACATAAAAGCCTCTTGAAGCTTCAAAATAGTATATGACAAAGGTAGGCAAGTTTTAACTTTCACAACTTAGTCATTAAAGATACCTGTTTCACCGCTAAATTTCGACCATACGACAGTACACATTTAGGTCAAGAGTAGACTGATTTAACATGTTATCTGAATACAATCTGTGTAGTGATAATATGGGGAGGTGTATGTTTAATGGATTTTAATCTTTTTTTTATTTTAACGTATTTGACACCTGATCCTTTCTCTGTGAGGGTCTTTGAAATCCGCAAGTTTCATTGTTTGAATCAGTCTTTGCAGGATATCTGTGTAGGACAGACATGGGTCATGTCATAGTCTATTCCCAATAGTTGTTGCTAATTACCGGTGGGCTGTGCCTCGTGAAATTGCTAATCTTAGCTCACTTAGTAACGTTAGCATAAGGTATGCTTCCCAGTGCACCGGTTAGAATTAGGCTGGCATTACACTCTCAGTTTTTAACTTATTGGGTTTTTTTTTGTTGTTGTTGTTGTTGTGTTGTTAATGTCCCCCATATGATGATGTAGTAGCTTTAGAATTGTGAGCTCTTTCTTCTACATGCTTTTTAACTGGGACATGCTGAACAGAGAAAAACAAAAGCATCAGTGTGATCTCAGCATGCTCTATGCTCTGCTGCTCTGAGAACCAAGCAGTGGTGGTTTGGGGGGTTCTGGAGATCTGAGCTTGCAAAAGGAGCCTAAGCAAAGTTCAAAGTCTGTTTTAAGGAAGGCCAGGGAAGAGCCAAAGTCAAAAGTTACTTGGGGCTGTGCTTCAGGTTTAGTAGTTTCTGCTGTAATTGGGGACAGTGAGAGAATGCACCGGAGAGGACGTTCCCTCTAAAGGGATGCTCTAAGATCCAAAAGGACACAGGAGCAGATCATAACCTGTGACCACAATAAACAAATGGTCTATATGATAGTAGGTAGCAGCTTAGACATTGGTGGGGTATTGATAACCTTCCCCAATAATGCTTTGCCATTCATTCATTATCAGCGTGACCATAAGAAGTTCTGAATGTGGGACCGGTAGCCTGCCTGGCTCTGTAGACAAGAGCTCTTACTGTTCTTGCAGAGGACCTAGGCTCTATTCCCAGAACCCAAATTGGTCAGCTCACAACTGCATGTATCTCCAGTTCCAGGGGATCTGATGCCCTCTTCTGGCCCTTGCGGGCACTGCACACACAAGGTGCCCATACATAATTCCAGCATGCACAGATACACGTAAAATAAAAACATCTTAAAAATACAATGAAAATGCAAAATTCTGAATGCTATGGCAATAATCTAAGGAGACAATTACTGCAGTCAGCTTCACAGGAGAGAAAACAATGACAGCAGCTACATATTATCGAGAAACCTAAAAGTGTGCAGAGATTTTTGATGTAGGGCCCAAGAGAGTTCTCTTAACTCTGAGCTGCTTTTCTGAAGGACGCAGGTTTGATTCCCAGCACCCATGTGGCAGCTCACAACCATCTATAATTCCAGTTAGTTCCAGAGGATCCCACACCCTTTTCTGACCTCCACTCCAGGCACACATGTGGTACACAGACATTCATGCAGGCAAAACACCCATACATAGGAGAGTAAATAAATTCAAAAGATATTTTGACTTAAAAAATCTTTTTTCTAATGAATAGAACTATTCTTTGACACAGGTGACCGTACCTCCCGTGTCTCAAAGCACCAAGGCACAGTTAACTGGCTTTAATGTGAACTTTGTCGCCTATCCACATCCCTAGACCATTATTGAATGGAAGGCTAGCTTTTCATCATCTGGCCCATTTTCTAAGAAACAGTTCCCCAATTAAGTAGTAGTAACTATAAGATTTGAATAATTTATGTAGATGACAAAATTATGGATTTTGTGAATATTAGACATTTAATATCCTGTTGGTGGAAAACAGTGCTTCTGATGTAGATTATCACTGACTTAAACTTTTTAAAAAAAATACGGTGCTTAGCCAGGCAGTAGTGACACATGCCTTTAATCCCAGCCCTTGGGAGGCAGAGGCAGGTGGATCTCTGTGAGTTCGAGGCCAGCCTGGTCTAAAAGGGCTAGTTCCAGGACAGGCTCCAAAACTACAGAGAAACCCTGTCTCAAAAAACCAAAAAAAAAAAAAAAATACAATGCTTTGATTTTGACATACAAGACAATTTTGTACAAGATAATGCAAGGTTTTCTCCGTCTATCTTTGGGCAATCCTATAATACATACGTTCACAAACAATGAGTTTTGTAGCTAATGTCTCTTGGTGTGCAAACGCGAGCAGTTGCGGAAGGCTAGGTACAGGGTGGGGTTCTGGCCGCCATGTGCTGGTGTCCAGGACAATGTGGCCCATATTCTCAGGCTGTTATTTTTGTTAGAGTTAAGTTTCTCAGTGTTTAAAGATCTGGTTTTGTTTTTCTTGAAATTCTTTTGCGTGCTGATTTTGAAGATTTATTTTGTTTTTAATTCTATCTGTGTATGGGTATGTGCACATACATGTAGCACCCATGGAGGCCAGAGGAGGGCATCAGGTCCTCTTCTGGAGTGATAGGCAGTTGTGAGCAGCCTGTGGTGGCTACTGGAAGCCAAACTCTGGTCCCTGCAAGAGCAGTGCGCATGCATACTGTAATCTCTGAGCCATCTCTGGCCTTTTGAGTCCTGACTTTTGAGGAATTATCTACTTCATGTTATGTGTTCATCCCTGGTGTTAGGTCCTGTCTATGACTGAATGGGGCACCATGGCCAGTGCCCTCAGGACTTAAGCTTCATTGTGGTAGTGTTGATTCGGTCATTGTTTACAATGGGCTATGCAGCTCTGTAAGCCCTTCATTGCTGATGGTTTCATGGTTAGCTGTCTTTGTGAAGATGAAATGACCTCTCCAAATGAAGTCTAGGGATGTGATGTATAAGGTGATATTTTACTTTATTTCTAAGCTGTTGCTTTAAAAAATACAGATGAGTTTCAAGTATTTTACATTTCCCAAACACCACGGTAAGAATATGAGAAAAACCAGTTGGTGCACACCTTTAATTCCAACATTCGGGAGGCGGGAGGATCTCTAAGTTTGAGCCAGCCTGGTCTAAAGAGTGAGTTCCAGGATAGCCAGGGCTACACAGAGAAACCAGTCTAAAAAACAAAAAGACAAAGATAAAAACAAGAAAGAAAAGTCACTGGAGACAGAGACAGGAGGATCTCTGTGAGTTCCAGGACACCCAGGCCTACATATTGAGACCCTATCTAAATAAATAAATAAATAAATAAACAAACAAACAAACAAATAAATAAGAAAGGAGAAAAAGGAAAGAAAAGCCGTGAGTCATGGACAAGCTGTAATCATAGCTGATGAATATTTACACAAGTTTGAATTAATTTTCATACTAGTTCTATATCTGTCTCTACAAAATACTAAGTCAAAATTTATAAAACGTATATAGATGCTTTTGGTGATGTATTCGGCCCAGCAGTGGTGGCACATGCCTTTAACCAGCACTCAGGATGCAGAGGCAGGCGGATCTCTGTGAATTCGAGGCCAGCCTGGTCTACAGAGCGAGTTCCAGGAAGTCAGTGCTACACAGAGAAACCCTGTCTCAAAAAGCCAAAGAAAGAAAGAAAAATGTGATAAATTATGAGCATGGCTCAGAGATTTTGTCTCATTTCCCCAAAGATGCCTGCTACACAGATTGACATGGATTTTCTTAGGATGAAGAGCTCCCAACTTTAAAGATATGCCAGAGATGAAGAAGTATGGGTAGAGGTGTGTTTTCTGGTATAACCCTTTGCTTCACTGAGAAGCCTCCTCCTCACTCTACTTCTTTAAGCTCACTGTTAACACTGTGGCTCGCACAACAAGGCCAGGTTACTGATGAGGCTTTAAAGCATCAGTTCCAGGGCTGGGTGGCTCAGTGGTTAAGAGCATCTGCTGCTCTAGAGGACGCAGCTTCTGCTCCCAGCACCCTCACTAGCTCCCAAGCATCTGTAACTCCAGGCACAGGGGATCTGATACCCTCTTCTGGCCACCGAGGGTAGTGCATGTGTGTGTGACTTTTGAGCCTCCCTGTGGATTCTGGGATTTGAAACTGGATCCTCTGGAAGACCAGCCAGTGGTCTTAACCCCTGAGCCACCGCTCCAGCCCTGTGTGTGAATTTTGAAACATGGAGCACACACAGAGAAATAATAATGATAAACCTTTAAAGAGAAAAGCATTTGCTCTTTTCTGGGAGGTTTCCTTGCTTTTTCACTAGAGGGTTTCTGGTCCACATGCTTCAGAGATCCCAGGATATGCAAATACTGAAGCAACTTAGCTTATCAAAGAAAATAAACTTGTCTTCAAATAGAGCGCTCAGAATAAATTTGTGATCAGTGTCTTCCTCTGGGGTGGAACATTACTGCTCCTGTGGTTCTTGTCACCCCGATTGGAAGGTTCCATACATACAGGAAATGAGGCTTTACTTCTCTGGTGTTTATTCTTTGTAAGTAAGCAGCATATAATTTAGATGACAGTCGGGTTTTGAGATTTGCTTTCTTTTGTTTTTCAGACATCCAACTCTGCCTAATGATAGAAAGAACTCTTAGTAATACTGCTCACCGTGCAATCTGATTGATATCATCCTAAAAACGTACCAAGCATCCTCGTCTAACAGTCTTTCAAACTTACTTGAACAAATTAGCATGCCAGTATTTCTCCCATCCTCGGGCTGGTAGAACACGAAGCCGATGAGCAAGCGGCCATTTTAAAGGGGTCTTCTAAAGTGTGTAGAACTTCCTTTTTGTAATGTAGAGAGGTTTTTGTGTGCATGTACATTTGTGCTCTCTTAGGCTTTTCTAATTCAAAAAGTTGAAAATCAACCAGACTCACAGCTCATTTGTAAATAATAGTTGGAAAGCCGATGTGAGATAGTTAGATTCCTAGGGACCTCATGAGGCTCATGATCATGTCTGTGTAAGAGAGAGAAACTGTGATCTCCCGTCCTTCCTCTGTGGTTAGGGAAGGCGATGTTTACTGGCGTGGGTGATTCTTAGTTGCCCTCTTAGCATCTGCTGTAGAAGCAGGCTTGTCTTTTTCCCTCTAGAATGTTCCAACGTCTCCGCCTTTGCTCCGATCAGAAGTTGCTTTGTGAGTTGGGGATGTGGCTCCATTAGTACAGTACTTGCCTAGCATTCATGAAACCCAGGTCCCATCCCCAGAACCACACAAAAACAGGACGCAGTGTACCCACCTGAAATCCCGGCACTTGGGAGGAGGAAACAGAAACTCAAGGTCATCCTCAGCTATGTACAGCCAGTTTGAGGCTAGCCTGAGCTACAGAAGACTATCTCGAAAGAAAGAAATGACTTCCTCGTGTGGTGTTGGGTGGCTAGATTTTAAGAGAAGAACATTTCCTCCTGAGATATGGAGAATGTGACGTTACATTTCCTTTTGCGAAGAGTCTTCAGACTATAACATCTAACATTTCAGACTGGCCCAGTCCCAGGCGTATTTTTTGCAAATCAGCTGCCCCTGTCTTTGGACTACCTCCTCCAGAAAAGTCTGGACCTTCACAGCTTTCCTGAGCTTAGAAGTTCCGTTCTCATCCCCAGATTTCAACAACTTCCTCTTCTTGTCTTCTCCATTTACTCAGGAGAACAGTGTAAAATCATGTCTGCATTTACAGATTCTTGGTTAATTCTGGGACAGGAGTTCGGAGGTGCTGGAGCACCGAGGTTAGAGAGAACCCTCACATATCCCAAGGCAGATGGTCAAAGGGAGATGGATGAAGGTGGCCACGTATAAGCCAAAGCCTCAAGACATGGGACACTTGCCTGTGAGTAATGAGAAGCTCAGTAAAAGCTGTGGGAAACCTTGCCTGTGTCCTGTTTTCCACTAACACGTGACTTGCAGTTATTATCAACATGTCTCTAAGTACATGTATGTACCTCTTGTCTGTGGTAAGTGGTGTTGCTTGTTAGTTACATGTTATCTTTTATAAAAAGAGTCCTGCTTCTTATCATGATGTATGTGACTTGAACAATTGTTTCATATTAAAACTATCTTCCCTGTGTACTGTTGACATATGCCTCTTTTTGGGATATCAGCTCAGTACCTTTATACAAACTCAAGTGTGTTCCACATTGGTGACATGTATTTTGCAGTAGGTTGTCCTTTTGTTCTTAGTGTGTGTCTTAAGTCATAATACACCAGTGCTGTGGTCTGTGGCAAAATGACTGTAATTCAAATTGGAAAAATAAAAGTTTCCAGACTTTGTCCAACCTTTATTCCTATGGTAAAGGAAATTACTATGTAATTCTAATTATTTCATATGATGGTATGTTTTAATCTACTCTGTGAAGTAAGAGAAACACCAGTGTTTATGGGTGAGTTAGTAAAGGCTCTGAAGTCTTTGAAGCATGGGAGGAGTAAACTGTGTTAGCAGCTCATGGCATCCATAATACAATAAATACATCTTAAAGTATTCACCTGTCCAGCGTGGTAGCATAAATTCCTAATCCTAGTGTTCAGAACCTGAGCCTGGAGACTCTGGAGTTGGATACGACCCTCGGCTATGTAGCAAGACTGCATGGAAAGGAGAGAGTCCTTCGCCTGCAGGGATGATTCCTGAGGCATTCTCTTAGCGGACACCTGCTGATGGCTCACAGCTAACAGCAATATTCACTGCAACATAACCGAAATATGGCAACAGTCACCAATCTTTATTAATTAAAAATTTACTGAGGTAATCAAGACAGTTATTAAAATAATAAGACTCCTCTCAGCCAGGCGGTGGTGGTGCACACCTTTGAGTTCAAGGCCGGTGTGGTCTACAGAGTGAGTTCCAGGATAGCCAGGACTGTTTCACAGAGAAATCCTGTCTCGAAAAACTGAAAAAACAAAACCCTCTGATTTGCTTAAATTTTGTGACCATGAACAGAACATGGATGCTATTTAGTTTGTATCTATCTGATGGCAGGATCTGATAATGAAAGTCATAATCATGATTTAAAAATACTGAACCAGGAAAGCACATTTTCATTTTTTATTTTCAAGGTACTTATTTAAGAACACTAGTTTAAAAACATTCTTTGTTGGAACTGGAGAGATGACTCAGATCTTGAGAATGCTTGCTCCCTTTCAGGGGACTCCAGGTCAGTTCCCAGGACTGAAGTCAGGAAGCTCATAATCTCCTGTAACTCCAGTTCCAGGGGATCTGAAACCCTCTTCTGGCCTCTGCAGACAGCTGCACACACACACAAAGACACATAACATAAATCAATGCATTTTTTAAAAATTTATTTATTATGTATATAGTGTTCTGGGCACCAGATCTCATTATAGATGGGTGTGAGCCTTCATGTGGTTGCTGGGAATTGAACTCAGGACCTCCGGAACAGCAATCAGTTCTCTTAACCTTTGAGCCATCTCTCCAGCCCATAAATGCATATTTTTAAGTAAGTCTTTATCATTAAAATTGGTACCCAAAGAGGTTGTAGCAAATAAAAAATATTTGGACATTGCAGAGTGGCATATTTGAAATAATATGCTTAAAGTAAAAAATAAATGCTGATGTGTACTTAAGTTGTATATCTTTCTAAAATATTCCGGTTTAGACTTTATCAACCAGAACTGCTTGAGTTGAAAGGATTTCCTGACCCAGTGACTATTTTTCCGAGTGAGTGTGTATGTATGCTCATCTTTCCGAGGCTGCATCAGAGCTCAGGATGCTGGTCACGGTATATCGTGTGCTCTTATTGTTTATAGGATGCTACAGTAAGTACTCTCATCCAGTCTTAAAGACTCCACGTGCTGTCCTGATTCCACTCTATGTGATGTGAATGGCCATACCTTCATAGGCCTGTTGTGTGCGTGTGTGTGTTCAAAAGTTTAGTACCACATCTTAAGAGTATATTTTTGTCTAATATTTGACAAACAGTCTAAACTTTTTAGAGTTGAGTATATTTCTGTTTAAATCATAGAGTTTTAAGGCGGTACTATGAATGAATAAAGTGTGCAGGGCCAGGCGTGGTGGCACACACCTTTTCTCTCAGCAATGGGTAACAGGCAGGAGGATCTCAACAAATCTGAGGCCAGCCTGGTCTTCACAGTGAGTTATAGACCAGTGAGTGAGTTATAGGTGCAAGGTGAGACCCAGACTCAAAATAACAATATAATAATAGTAACAACAACAACAACAACAAAATGATAAAGTAACTAACGGATCATCCCAAAATATTATCTTTGCGTGGTTTACACACGGGTTACACTTTTCAAAGAAATTGAAACTAGCGTGGTTGAATTTGGTCAAACGTGGATAGATTTTAAAAGGCTTCCAAGTGTTAAGTCTATTACATTCTCAGTTATAAATATCCCTCCCCAGAGATATTAAGCCTGTACACTTCCTCCCTTCTGCTCCACACACTGTCTGGAGTTGAACATTGAGCATGTCTTCCACACATTAGTGTTTTATGCTAAAGTCGTAAGATGAGCAGAGACTCTATTTCCCCGTCTGCCCATGTTCCTGTCACCATCGTGTTCAGTGTGTCATCTGTGTGCTGTGTAAGGGCTGTCAGTCTGTAGACTCCATTCGTGAAAATGATGTACGCAGGCTTTCTTGAATAACTCGTAAGTTTGTCTCCTATGGTGTCAATCTACTTCAGAGTCTTTTAAATAAAGCTAGTTTTTAAGGAGAAGGACTGATTATTTTAAGTGTTTGAACTTGATCTCTCATTCGGAGGGGTAGGTATGACTGCACTGGCTTTGGGTGAAACAGAGCCAACAGAAGGTTAAGTGAAGCTCTGGCCTGGAATTTGCCAGGAGTGTGTATGCTGATGAACAAATCCTTCTGGTCAGGTACACACACACACACACACACACACACACACACACACACACAAAGAACAGATGTAGAGTCGATGGTTAATAAATCTGTGCAACTTTATGCGGGGCCATGGTGGTGCACACCTTTAATCCCAGCTCTCAGGAGGCAGAGACAGGCAGATCTCTGAGAGTTTGAAGCCAGCCTGCTCTACAGAGGGAGTTCCAGGACACAGAGAGACACTGTCTCAAAAAATAGAAACAAACAAACAAAATCTGTGCAACTTTAATATTGTAAGCAGTGCAGAAAGATACAACTAAATACTCACCTTGTAGGGAAGCCACCATGATCAAGAAAATGGTTTGGGATGGGCAATGGTGGTGCACACCTTTAATTCCAGCACTTGGGAGGCAGAGACAGGCAGATCTCTGTAAGTTCGAGGCCAGCATGGTCTACAAGAGCTGGTTCCAGAACAGGATCCAAAGCTATAGAGAAAGCCTATCTCAAAAAAGAAAGAAAGAAAGAAAGAAAGAAAGAAAAGAGAAGAGAAGGGGGCTGGAGAGATGGCTCAGCGGTTAAGAGCATTGCCTGCTCTTCCAAAGGTCCTGAGTTCAATTCCCAGCAACCACATGGTGGCTCACAACCATCTGTAATGAGACCTGCAGGAAGAATACTGTATACATAATAAAAACAAATAAATAAATGAAAAAAAAAGAGAAGAGAAAATGGTTTGGGGTGGGGAGGAGCTAGAGAGAGGGGCACTGGCTGCTCTTCCAAAGGTTGGAGTTCAAGTCCCAGCACCCATAAAGCTGTTCCAGAGGATCTGATGCCCTCTTCTGGCCTCTCTGAGCACCGCGGGAACATGGTACATAGACATACAGGCAAAACACCCAAACACATAAAATACATAAGAAACTACTTGGTGGGCATGGTGACATACACTTTTAATCCTAGAACTTGAAAGCAGAGGAAAAGGCATGCAGACCTCTGTGGGTTCAAGGCCAGCCTGGTCCAGGGCTACAAACAGATGTTATATCTTTCGTTTTAAAATTTTAAATTTGGGGCTGGAGAGATGGCTCAGCGGTTAAGAGCACTTACTGCTCTTCCAAAGGTCCTGAGTTCAATTTCCAGCAACCACATGGTGGCTCACAACCATCTGTAATGAGGTCTGGTGCCCTCTTCTGGCCTGCAGGTATACACACAGACAGAATATTGTATACATAATAAAGTAAATAAATGTTTTAAATAAAATAAAATAAAATAAAATTTTAAATTTGGCACTGGTGAGTAGTAGGATGTGGGGTCTCATAGGTATAATCCCAGCACTAGGGAGGGTGAGAAGTTGAGACTGGAGGACTGAGTTGAAGGCCAGCCTGAGCTACACAATGAGAGAAGCAGGAGGGAAAGAGAGGGATCTCAACAGATCAGTAGCCTGGGCTATATAGCATGTTCTAGGTCAGCCTGAGCTACATGGTGATACCTTGTCTTCAAAATGAATGAATGAATGAATAGTATTTTCCTTTAAGAATCTTTCTTTTATATATTTTGTTTATCTGTTATATGTGTAGAGGACAGAGAACAATTTGCCAAAGTTAGTTCTCTCCTTCTACCATGTGTGCCTTGAACTCAGGTTGTCAGGCTTGGCAGCAAGCTCCTTTACCTGGGCCCTTAAGAATTTTTTGACTTTCTTTTTTCAATCATCCATTTAGTGTATAGCGATAATTTACTTGTTTCTATCCATATATAATATTCTGTGTTGTATATATGCTTGAGAAACATTTGGATGCTTTCCAGGTTTAAAATTTTAGATTTGTCTATTTTATGTGTTTGAATGTTTTGCCTGGAGTATGTCTGCGCATTTGCATGCAGTGCCCTGAGAGGCCAGAAGAGGGCGTCAGATCTTCTGGAACTGGAGCAACAGACAATCGTGAGCTGCCTTGTGGATGCTGGGAACTGAGCAGGGGTCTGCAGAGCAGCAAGTGCTCCTAACTTGTGAATGGTCTCTCCAGCCCTTCATGAAAACATTTTTCACATAAGGATCTTGTGCTTTGTCTTAGAGAAGATTGGGCTGCAGAGAGAGTCTTTCTTAGATAACGTCAGTTTAAGCCAGGTTGGGGTGTTGTGGTGCACACCTTTAACACCAGCACTCGGGAGGCAGACGCGGGTGAAGTCTGAGTTCAAGGTCAGCCTGGAGTCTCCTGCCTCGGCCACCGCACTGACAATGCCCAGCAAATGAGGTCAAACCAAAGGTCCTGAGTCTAAAAGTGCATGGGTGTTACCATGCACACATCCCAGCTCTGTTGCCCCAAATCCCTCTGCATTCTAAAGCCCCAAGCGTTTTCCTTTTCAGTGCCGGGAATCCTAAGGCAAGCCCAGTCTCTCCCAGGGAGCCACACCACAGCTTCTTTTCTCCTTTAACAAAAATTCACTTTGAAATTATTCTTATTTAATTAATCTGTTTGAGTGTGAGTGCAGTGCCCTCGCAAGCCAGAAGAGGGCATCCGACTGGAGTTAAAGGCGCTTGTGAGCAGCTCAACAGGAGAGCCGAGAACCGAACTCGGACCCTCTCAAGGGCAGTGCATTCGCAGCGCATTCTCTTGATCCCCGAGCCATCTCATCTCCGGGACTCATCTCATGAGTGTTCTGCTCTACTCCTTCCTCATTCTCTCAGGCTAAGAAGCAGCTAGGATCCAGATGCTCCAGACCCAGGAACGATCAGACCGCAGGAGGAGCACAGGGAAGCTTGGAGCCCCCACTGGACCCATGACCCGGAAGTACCTGGGAAGGCCGAAGGGCCGGAAGTGATGGCAGCCCTGCGATCCCTGCTCTCCTAGCAACCAAACCGGCTTCTTAGCGACGCAAGGTGGCTCCCGCGTCCCTGGCCCAGCCATGCCGGTGCGGGTGAGCGAGTTCAGCTGGCAGCAGACGCCCGCCGCGGTCTTCCTGTCGCTGCCTCTGCGCGGCGTGTGCGTACGCGACGCCGATGTGTTCTGCGGGGAAAGTTACCTGAAGGTGGGCGGGGCGGAGACTGCGGTTGCCCCGCGCCTCGGGGGCAGGGGCTGCCTTGAGGAAGCACTGCACTGCATCCTTTGAGTTTACTTTTTTTGTTGTTGTTGCTGTTGTTTTTCGAGACAGGATCTGTGTAGCCCTGACTGTCCTGGAACTCGTTCTGTAGCCCAGGCTGGCCTCGAACTCACTGCGCTCTGGCTGCCTCTGCCTCCCTAGTGCTGGGATTAGAGGCTTGTGCCGCCACCGCCTAGCTACATTTCCATGTTTTATTAAATTTTAATTTACATCTTTACTTTTACTTTTTTGTGATGCTAAGGATAAAACTCAGACGCCCCTGTATGTTGCACCACCCAGCTACATTTCCAGCTGCTGTGTGTGTATATGTATGAATGTTTGCGTCCATATGTGTGCACACCAGCGAAGGCCAGAAGAGGGTGTCAGATCTCTTGGAATTGGAGTTACAGACGGTTATGAGCCACGATGTGGGTGTGGAAACCAAACCCCACTCTTAATGCAAGAGCAGCGCATGTTCTTAACCACTGAGCCATCTCTCCCACCCTAATGGCTTAATGGGGGGGGGGGGGGCGTGTCTTATTCTGTAGCACACACTGACATTGAATTTTAGGCAGTCTTCTTTCAGATGTCCAAGTGCTGGGATTGGTAGGATGCTCCACGCCCCTGGCTAGACCTCAATTAAAGTCCTCTTTTTTTGTTTGTTTGTTTGTTTTTTCGAGACAGGGTTTCACTTTTTAAAAAAACTCTTAAGCTGGTGCATGCCTTTAATTCCAGCACTTGGGAGGCAGGGGCAGGCTAATCTCTGTAGGCTATAAGACCTGGTCTATAAGAGCTAGTTCCAGAACAGCCTCCAAAGCTACACCTAGAAACCCTGTCTTGAAAAAACAAAACAAAAAAACCCTCTAAACTGTCTGGTGCTGATGCATGCCTTTAATCCTAGCCCTAGGGAAGCAGAGGCAGGTGGGTCTTTTTGAGTTTGAGGCCAGCCTGGTGTTCAGAGTGAGTTCTAGCCAAGGCTATACAGAGAAACTCTTTTTTAAAAAACAAACAAGCAAAATAAACCCACAACAACAACAACAAACAACCAATAAATAACTAGATAATAATTCTCGGGCTGGTGAGGTGGGTTAATGCACTGCCACGAAGACGACAACCTCGGTTCAGTCCTCAGGAAGGGGAGAACCAACTTCTCACAATTCCCTGACGCCCACGTGCTGGCACGGTGCTCATAGACCCACATACACTGCACACAGAAATCTCATTAAAGCAACAAGAAAGACAAATCTCTGTGGCGTCATCTCCAGGCACGTTCAGGTCAGAGATTACTTTCATCCATGCTTCATCGTATACCCATGTTCACTTTGCTAACCTATGTTCCCTGGAATAATTCAGTGGGGTTTTCAGAAATCCACATACACATAGGGTCTGCCGTAGCCCAGGGTGGCCTCAAACTCACTTTGCAGCTGAGGATGACCTGGAAAGTCTGAGCTTCCTGCCTCTACCTCCTGAGTGCCCAGATTTCAGGCATTCGACACCATGCTGGGAACTGTAACCCCACTATAACATTTTTTTCCGGAATAAATAAATGTAAATTTTTTTAGTGTGTGTGTGTGTAATATGCTTGTCTGATGCCCTTGGGGTTCAGAAGAGGGTGTCAGATCTCCCGGAACTGGAGGTACAGATGAATGTGAGTCCCCACGTGGGTGCTGCAAACAACCCAGGTTTTCTCAAGAACAAGTACTTTTAACTATTGAACCATCTCTCCAACCCAGACCTTTTTTTTTTTTTTAATGGCAGCATCTTTAGTTTGTATAGCTAACTTAATGCCTGCTTTCTCTCTTCTGAACAGGTCAACTTTCCTCCATTTTTATTTGAGGTGTTTCTCTATGCTCCCATAGATGATGGGAATAGCAAGGCCAAGATTGGGAATGACACGATTCTCTTTACACTGTATAAAAAGGATCCAGTTATGTGGGAGACCCTTTCTATGCCAGGTGGTAAGGTTTTTAGTGAAAGTTGTTCACTTGAGCTGGGTGTCTTTCATGAGAGCTCAGTACATACCTGTAATCCAAGCACTGGGCAAGCTAAACAACATGAAACCCTAACTCAAAAATAAAAGAAAGTTTCTACTCTAGGCATTGTGGTAACCCAGGGTGGTGAATGCTTGCACTCTTAGCTCTTGTTTGTTTGTTTTTCAAGACAAGGTTTCTCTGTGTATCTTTGGACCCTGTCCTAGAACTCATTCTGTAGACCAGGCTGGTATCAAAGTCACAGAGATCCACCTGCCTCTGCCCCCGCCCCCCAGGGCTAGGTTTAAAGGTGTGTGCCAGCCCTGCCTGGCTGCTTTCTCAGCTCTTACAAGGTTGATGTAAGATGATCACAACTCTAAAACCACCCTGGGGCTTGTTAAAGATGCTGTCTCAAAATCATTCCCTTCTTGACAAATTGGATCTAAAGAAATCTTATCCTGGATCAGTATAAGTACTTTTCACCTTAATAAAACAAATTAATCATAAACCTGATTTGTAATCAGGTTTAAGTAAAATGCTGCAGGTCCCCAAGTGGCGGCAATAGGCAGCGGGCCATGAGACCATACCACAGGTCCCTGAGTGGCGGCAAACCGCAGGCAGCGGGTCCCGAGACCACGGCTGGCCACAAAGGTAGCCAGGTCCCAGGTAGGAAGCCATGTGGCAGGTGAGAGACCACGACAGATAGGCATGCCATGCAGAATGAAGTTGGGTATTCATTTAGTTAGTTATGAAAGGGAAGGGGAGAAGTGGGTTATGGAAGGGGAAGAGCAGAGAGAGAGATAGACAGGGAGAAGGGAAAAAGTGGGGAGAAGGGAGAGGCAGAAAGGAAGGGACTCAGTCGGACTGGGGAGGGAGTGGGCATGGTTTGTCTCTTAAAGGCACAGAACAGACCATTACACATACTTTCCCTTGTGTTGCAGTGGACAAAGAGACAATGCAGAGAATAAGAGAAAAATCTATTCTTCAAGCACAGGAGAAAGCAAAAGAGGCCACAGAAGCAAAAGCTACTGCCAAGCGGGAAGATCAGAGATACGCACTAGGTGTGATGATGAAGGTGAGCTGCAGACCTCCAGACTCACTGAAGGAGATGATGATGCACTGGGGAAAGATAAGTTCAGCCAGGTGTGGGGGTGCAGGCCAGCCAGTTACTCAGATGGTGAACCAGGAGGATGAGAAGTCAAGCCTTTAACAGCTGTGATGGCATATGCCTTAATACCAGCTAGTGGGAGGCAGAGGCAGGCAGATCTCTGAGTTCAAGGCAATCCTGATCTACAGAGGGAGTTCCAAGACAGCCAAAGATACAGAGAAACAGAGTCTTGAAAAAAAAAAAAAACAAAACAAAAAGGAAGGAAGGAAGGAAAGAAAGAAAGAAAGAAAGCTTTGGAGAAACCCTGTTGAAGTAATAGGGACGGCGGGGCTGCATCCCCAGCACCCGGCCGCCCCTACAGCTAGCTTTACCCAAAATAATTACACGGACACTGTATTCTTTTAATCATTGCTTGGCCCATTCTCTTCTAGGCTAATTCTCACATATTAATTTAGCCCATTCTAATTATCTGTGTGTAGCACCCCAAGGTGCGCTTACCGGGAAGATTCTAGCCTATGTCCATCCTGGGTCGGAGCTTCATCCCGGGAGCAGGGCATGGCGTCTCTCTCAGGCGTCTGTTCCCGAGAGGAGAGCTGTGAGTCTCTGACCTCACTTCCTCTTCCTCCCAGCATTTTGTTCTGTTTACTCCTCCCACCTATCCTCTAACCAATAAAATGGGCCAGGGCAGTGCCTTTATTAGCCAATGACCTTCCTCCATCATTTCCCCTTTTTCGGTTTAAACAAAAAAAAAGGCTTTAACTTTAACATAGCAAAATTACATATAACAAAACAGTTATCAAGTAAAAGTTACAATAATCTTTATCATAACTAAGGAAAACTATAACTATAACTAACTATTCTTAACTCCATCAAAGACACCAGAAAGATATAATATTACCTAAGTAAACAAGAACTAAGAAACTTCAAACTCTAGAAATGACAAAGACATCTCGCTGCCTGGACAGTCACCCAAAGTTCTTTTGTACCGTTGGGGCATCCATCTTCAGCCTTCAGGCCCATAGTATCCAGCAGACATTTTCATCAAGCAGGAAATTCCAAAGGCAGTCACTATCTGCTTGTCCTGAAGAATGTCTTGCAGACGCTCTCATGAATCAGGAACCCCGAAAGATCATCTCACCTTTAGGCAAGTTCAGTAGTCCTTTCTCTGCGGGTTCTCTGCGTCCAGTTTATGCAATAGTCCAGGCAAGAGCAGTTTCTTGCCCAAATGGCTATCAATCTCCATAACGAGCCTCTTCGATGCCCATCTTCCTCTTGAAGTACATTGGTGCTGCCAGGAGCAGAGTGTCTCATTGTCATGAAAAGTCCTCAGTTATTAAAACATTAAATGTCCTATTCTGTAATCTTTGAAAGACATGAAGAATGTCTATCTAAAATATATCTCTATATATCTAGAAAATCTAACTAACATGACTACAAGCTTTACTATTATCGATGATTATCCATTAACAACCTATATTTCTTAATTATACAGTACATATTTAAATGAACTACACAATCACAATACCTTAATCAAAATCAGAAACACTTATACATATAACAAAATTGACCTTAAATCTCTATCAATAAAGCAAAATCTATACTAATGTAAATTATTCATATCTATATCATATCCCCCTTTAAATGTAAAAGAACGTTTATAAACCATATTTGGGAACATGGGCGCAGTTTTTTCTCTCCAAACTGCTTCCTGCTGAATGGGGGCGTCGTTAATTAGGTCTTTCATGGTATAACCTGTGTGCTAGTTTCATCTCAGTTGGCAGTTGAGCGAAGCAATTTTCTGAAGGTGTTCACACCAACCCTTCAGGAGGGCGTGGTCCATCATACCAAATCGGAGTAGAAGAAATGAACAGCGTCTCATCCTCTGTGAAAACAAAATAAGAAACTCCTCTCCAAAGCATCATGTCCTTAGATCCAAATTTTAAAGTCAAGGCATTTTCACAATATTTATGTTGGATTAGTTCAGCAGCATTTATAAATAAATATCTTTTAGCAGCTGTTGCTCCTTCCTCAGCATTCAAATAATTCAAAGAGAGCATAATAGCATACAGTATCAAAATTCTCTGTTTATTTTCCATCTTATTACACCTTTGTTTTAACCTCTATTTCATTTATTTTTACTTTTAACTTTTTGCTTTTTGAGACAGGTTCTCTGTATCTTTGACCTGAAGTAACTCTGTAGACCAGGCTGTCTTTGAACTCTCAGAGATCCGCCTGTCTCTGCCTCCCAGGCATTCGGGATTAAAGGTGTACACTGCTACACCTTGAACTCACAGAGATCTGTTTGTCTCTGCCTTCTAGGCACTAGGATTAAAGGCGTGTGCTACCACACACACAACAACTCTCTTCCTTTTTTTTTTTTTTTTTTACTTTAAGAACTTTAACTTTTAGTCTGCATATATTTTTAACACACTTTAAACCATTCAGAAATTTTTTCTGTCTTTGAATCTCTCTTTACTGTATATCTCTCTTTTTCTGACCACATGAATCTTTAATTTACCAAGCGATCTCAGTAGGATTAAAGGCGTGGCTTTGCCAGCTAGATCCAGTCCATTCCTTAGCTTTCCAGCCTCATGGCGGATATACAGGCTGTGGCCATGTTTACTGCAACAACTGTATGGCATTTCAAGGTCCCTGCCAGCAAGTGAGCTACAACAGACAACACACAAGTCCTCTCTCGGTAGCCGGCCCTCCTGCCTCAAACAGTCAGAGTTTGCCCTGGCAGGATGGCCCAGAAAGCCGGCATTTTTAAACAGCGCAGCTTTTTTCCTACTATGGCTGAAAACCGAAAAACATGTGTTCAGCTTTTCGTCAACACCGTTTAAGTGTTTCGTGGCAGGACCTCTTAATGAGCTGCAGGCTTTGCAGCTAAAGCTGAGTCAGGAAGCCTCTCTTAGATGAGGCGCTTGCTTGCCTCTAGCAAGCAGAGTAGAACCGAGAAATTGCTGCTACCAAGAAACCAGGCACAATGCTTTCATTTTGTTCTAGAATTACTTCCCAAGCTGTCTCAGGCTTTATGTGGAAGCAGTTGTCCACGTGGACGCCATATGAAGTAATAAGGGCGGCGGGGCTGCGTCCCCAGCACCCCAGCTGCCCGCTCGGCTAGCTTATGCCCCAAAATAATTACACAGACACTGTATTCTTTTAAGCACTGCTTGGCCCTTCTGCCCTAGCCCTTACTGGCTAATTCTGATATCCCGATCAACCCATCTCTAATAATCGGTGAGCACCGGTCTTACCGGGAAGATTCTAGCCTAGTCCATCCTGGGTCAAGCTTCATGGCGTGTGTCTGCCTGGGAGCTGGGAGTATGGCGTCTCCCTGAGGCGTCTGCTCCCGAGAGCAGAGCAGTGGAGTCTCTGACCTCACTTCCTCTTCCTCCCAGCATTTTGTTCTGTTTTCTCCTCCCACCTATCTTCTAACCAATAAAATGGGCCAGGGCAGTTCCTTTATTAGCCAATGACCTTCCTCCATCACCCTGTCTCGAAAAGCTAAATGAAGAAAGAAAGAAGAAAAAAAGGAAGGGAGGAAGGAAGGAAGGAAGGAAGGAAGAGAAAGAAAGAAAGAAAGGGGTATACAGTTCAATGGTAAAAGACTTGGCTAGCAGGTCTGAGGCCCTGGGTTCAATCCCCAGCTACTCCCCTGCCCCCGCACACACTCATTACACACATTTGTTGCCATCTCAGTCCTTTCTTGGTGTTTGGTTGTAGGACTTTGCTGGAGACCTGCTTCAGCTAGGGTTTCAGGTCCCAAAGAGCATGGACTCTGGGGGCAGGGGTGGGGTGGGGCACACAATCTGAGGGTGAATCAGGATGACTGCCCGGAGCTTTTTTTTTTTTTAGTTTTTTCGAGACAGGGTTTCTCTGTGGTTTTGGAGCCTGTCCTGGAACTAGCTCTTGTAGACCAGGCTGGTCTCGAACTCACAAAGATCCGCCAGCCTCTGCCTCCCAAGTGCTGGGATTAAAGGCGTGCGCCACCACCGCCCGGCCTGCCCGGAGCTTTTTATTGAGAAAAGATTATATCTTTTATACTACATAGTTGCATCTTGGATTAAATTGGAGACAAGGGCAGGTGAGCTGGGGTGTGGTTTGAGATCAGGAGTTGAGGAATCGAGCATTGACCTTGACACTAGTCACCAGTTGTAGGTTATTTTCTTTTAAGATTTATTTATTAGGTACACAGTGTTCTGTCTGCAGGTCAGAAGAGGGCATCAGATCTCATTACAGGTGGGTGTGAGCCACCATGTGGTTGCTGGGAATTGAACTCAGGACCTCTGGAAGAGCAGCTAGTGCTCTTAACTGTTCAGCTAACTCTCCAGCCCCCAATCATATGTTAATGAAGGGTCACAGGATCCTCTTGCTTTATCAAGAATGACTGCTTTATCAAGCACAAACTTTCCTCAAGTTCCCCAGGGAATGGAGACCCTTATCCAAATGCCTGACCTTGAAAAAAGGACTTCTTCTGGGGAGCAGACAGTATACTACAATTTCTTAGTCTTTTTTAAATTTCTAAAATTTAAAGTTTTTTATTGATTTTTTTTTTCGAGACAGGGTTTCTCTGTGGCTTTGGAGCCTGTCTTGGAACTAGCTCTGTAGACCAGGCTGGTCTCAAATTTTATTGATATTTATTGAGCTCTACATTTTTCTCTGCTCCTCTCCCCACCTTCAATCCTCTCCCAAGGTCCCATGCTCCCAATTTACTCAGAAGATCTTGTCTTTTTCTATTTTCTACTTCCCATGTAGATTAGATCTATGTAAGTCTCTCTTAGTGTCTGCATTGTTGTCTAAGTTCTCTGGGATTGTGGTTTGTAGGCTGATTTTTCTTTGCTTTATGTTTAAAAACCACCTATGAGTGAGTACACATGATAATTGTCTTTATGTGTCTGGGTTACCTCACTTAAAATGATGTTTTCTGCCTCCATCCATTTTCCTGCACAATTCAAGCTGTCATT